GAGTACAACAAAACCACATTCTATTTTAATCTTATTAAGAAAGTATCACTTAAACAAGATTGTTTCTGTTATTTTACAATATATAGGTTGTCAATTCAGTACCAGATTGTAACCAATTCATTAACAAATTAGAACTGTACATCTAACAGATCACAAATTACAAATTAATCAAAATTAAAACCGGCAATAAATTGGATCAAACTTATACTTTGAGTGAGACTCGAATATGAAACTTAAGTTGCTGGGACCTCCACCGTAACCAATGAATTAACGTTTTATTGACTCAAGAAACACTATCAATATATTAGGTAAAAGAGTAAAGTTTAGCTAAGGTCGTAAATATACACGGTTCAAAATCTTAATTTTAGAGCTAAAATGAAGAGCTAACTTCCATTATACAACCCATCAAACTAAGAAAATAAACAGATTAGAGTAATATTGTATCATTGACAGGATATGGATAGCCAGGCTAAGCCAGCTATGCATAAATGATAATTGTTGAGGGAAGTAGCTGCAAATCCAAGGAAAGAATAACAAGCAGCCAGATGGTCCAGATGACTTTTAGTGTCAGATTACCTAGTCTCCAATGATCTGATGTGTTTATGTGGGATGCCAGATGTCTTTTGGCCAATATTCACCAAACTTCCCTTTTATTCCTTTCGTCAACTTGAGGACAACCTTGCATGGACAAGTGCTAGAGTGCGCGCAGTGAGAAGCTTCAGGCCTTCAGGTAGCTGTTTTAGATTGTGACCGTCGGATATTGTCAAGGATCTAAGAGAAGAAAACTCCCAAATCCACTCTGGCAAAGTTTCTAAACCTGGACAGCTTCCGATTTCTAAGCAATGCAGCATGGGGATATGTTACAGTCCTGAGAAAAGTCCTAAACACCTAGCTCAATATGGTCAAGCCCCGGAGGGTGGAGAGGCGATGCATGTTCCCTCCACAGATTTTTTTTTTTCTCTGGTTTGCAAGGGAGAGCAGAGCATTGGGACTCGAACCGGGGTAGCGCTCGTGGGGAGAAGGTGACCTTGCTACCTGCTCCAACTATTGTAATGGTTCAATTGAGAGACTTTGAATAAACATTAACAACACCACGTTGGTTCATATAAATACTTTTTTTTTTTTTTTTGAAGATACGCAATGAGGTTCATGTAGATACTTAATCCAAGGCATATTGAAAATTGAATAGTGTAGAACATGAGACTGATACAACAGATATCTTAGAACTCAAGGATATAGAGGCATGTGCCTATGGAACAGATCTTGTTCAAGTAAGGTTGTGATACAACAGATATATCGAACTCATGTTATTGTAACTACTGTATAAACATTTGATGCTGCTAAGAAAATTTACTCGGAAGGATTTGCAAGAACAAACCTATGTGATATACTGTTGACGCAATGGCGTTCATATGTGGGAGTTTGAAATCCTTCTCCTTTAAATACATGGCCTAAAATGACCGCCACAGGCTGCGCATGTAATTTTAGTCCTCATTCCATCCTGGTCAGGTTGAACAGACACAAGTATAATTATATAAACATTTCGTGCTAAACTAATTATAGCCTACTTCAGCTGAAAAATGAGCAAGGCAAAACAGGGAGGAACCTCACCGTGCCATTTATGGCTCCACAGAGACCTTCGTAGAAAGGTGGCCAACCACAAAAAGAGTTAAATTTGGTAGTAGACCTGTAGAATGGAGTTCCACATCCTGCACAATTATACACAACCTCACCGAAGAATTTATCATATTCTCCAGAACAAGGATACCACTTCAGCATCAGAGCAATGTCAAGTTTCAAGATTAAAATGGATATAAATATTAGATAACATGACACAAGTTTTCTGAGAAATACAAGTAATGGAGGCACCGTAAGCATGTATATCTGAAAACAAGCTACTACCAAATTAGGCACATGATATTGGATGAGTTGGATGAATATTCTAGAATAATCAATAGCATCTCCCAAAGGAAGACAGAGGAAAGAGAACCTGAAATCCTTTAATAGTTCATTCAATTCCATCCAACAATAGCATCTCAATTTCCAAGCTTAAACTGATACACACTTCACATAGCACAGAATCTATCCAGTTTCTATAGGCAAAAAGATTTCAATTTTAAGAATTTGTCAGCAGCTAAAGTTGCCTCCTTTTCTTTGGCTCGACAAGGACAGTTTAAAAACCAGATTGAAATACTATTGCTACTGTTGAAGCAGAAAATATCCCAGTCGGGTCACGATCTGGATTTGGGCTTGATCGGGTTTGATTTGACTTGGGTACCTGTAAGACCCA